CGATTCAGTGAGCCATTCTCACAAAAAAAAAAAAAAAAAAAAAAAGTGCTGTATGGGCTAGGGATGTAGCTCAGGGGCACTGCGCCTACCTGGCAAGCTCAAAGTCCTGAGTTTGGTCCTCTATGAGGGGGTGGGCTCAGCACTCCCTAGGTTCACTCCCAAGTAGGGAGTGGGAGGGGACAACTTTATATTTATAGAAACCAGATATCTTTTTTCCATTAAGTTTATTGGTACATTTAAAGAAAACAGTACAGTTACATTTATCATTTGGGATCTTGTATTTTTACATGATAAATCTTGGTTCTTATTTTTTCCCCATACCTGTCCTCCCTTTACCCCCCCTTCACCCTTCCCTATTTACAAAGACTTTGTTTCAATTTTTTCACATTTTTTTCTTTTCCCTTATTTCCTTTTCCCTCCCTTCCCACTTCCCCTTTAGCCATTTTCTTCCTATTTCACACTCTAAATTATACCATTCAAACCTTATTTACACTTCTAGTTTTTCACACTGGAGAAACTTCGGTATTTACTCAAGTGTGTCCTTTTTATTTTACTAAAGAGTATAGCCTCAATATGCATACATTTAGCTATAAATGTTTCTAGTTTTTCATTCTTTATGGCTGAGTAATACTCCATTTTATAGAAAACCACATCTTCTTTAGCCAATCTCTAATTGATGGGCATTTGGGTTGTTTCCAAATTTTAGCTATTACAAACTGTGCCACTATAAACATGAGTGCACATATATCACTGTGGTATGATTCTTTTAATTCTTTTGGAAAGATACCCAGCAGAGGGATAGCTGGGTCAAATGGAACCTCCAATCCTAGTTGTTTGCAGTATCTCCATATTGATTTCCACAGTGGTTGCACTAGTCTGCACACCCACAAACAATGGAGAAGTGTTCCTTTCTCCCCACAGCCCCACAAGCATTTGTTATTGGTTGATTTCTTGATAGCAGCCATTCTTTCTAGGGTAAGTTGGAATCTCAGTGTTGTTTTCATCTGCATCTCTTGAATGACCAGTGATGATGAACAGTTTTTTGTATATTTATTTGCTGCTTTTACTTTTTTGTCTGAGAAATGTCTGTTCATTTCAGATGCCCATTTTGAATTGGGTCTTTGTGTTTGAGAGGTCTGATTTTTTTTTGAGTTCTTTATATATTCTAGATAGTAGTCCTTTGTTGGAGGAGTAGCTGGTAAAAATTTTCTCCCACGTTGTAGGTTGTCTCTTAACTCTGTTGGTGATTTCTCTTGCACTGCAAAAACTTTTTAATACAATAAGATCCCAGTTGTTTATTCTTTGTCAAGTTCTCATACTGCTGAGGATTTGTTCATAAAGTCTTTTCCTATGCTAGTATTTTCGAGAGTCCTGCCTAACTTGTCTTCCATCAAGTTTAGTGTTTCTGTTTTAATATTTTGATCTTTAATCCACTTGGATTTTAGTTTAGTGCATGGTGAAAGATAGGGATCTAGTTTTAATCTTTGGCAAATTGAAAGCCAGTTTTTTCAACACCATTTATTAAAGAGGCTGTCTTTCCTCCAGTGAGGATAGTTGGCTCCTTTGTCTAAGATGAGGTAGTGGAGTATGTATGTTGTTGTTTCTGCATCTTATAATCTATTCCACTGATCCTTGGGTCTGTTTCTTTGCCAGTACCATGCTGTTTTTAACAGTGGCTTTGTAGCATAATTTCAGGTTGGGAATTGTGATACCCCCTGCCATGTCACTGTTGCCTAGAATGGTTTTTGCTATTCTAGATCTCTTAGAAACCAGATATCTTGTGATATTCAGTAACATCAGAATGTGTAAGGACCCCTTCTTATTCTTTAATTTTTGTGCATCAACTAACACAATTCATGTAAATTGTTTTGAGGTTTAATTTGCAGAAAAGTAATGTTTGTCTAAAAAAATACCCAGTATGGTGGTGCATGCCCTTAATCCAAGTGATAATGGGAGAAATATAACTCTCAATCTATTATATGTCAGATGTGTGAAGGTTGTGTCTCCTGAAATCAAAGAATAAATTTTAAAGGACAATGGAAGTTAAGAGTAGGAAAGGTTTATTGAGAGGTAGCTCTTGAGAGACAGGAGGAGTCTTGACTGAGTTGTTATTGAGCCTCTTTATTGAGGGTAATTTATATAGCAAAGTCACATACACCACATGATGGTATAATGTGGGTCAAACTATAACCAACCTATATAATTATAAGATGCTAGCTAATATTGATCTAGTAAGGAAGCAGGTCACATAGCAAGGGTACATGGAAAGAACAAAGCCATTTTTGGAAGGAGTGGGTATGGGTGCTCTGGACACCCACTTGGGTGTCTATTGTATATTTGGACTTAATGCACTGGGTGATATTAAATATAGTATAGTATCAAGTTCTACTTATCTCTTAGGGAAGTATGTAAGTTTGGCCATTGTGACTTTATTTTGGGATCTTGTCTTTTTTAGGTGCACCTCCAGCCACAATTTTGATGTCTTTATTTTTTACTGACTATTTTGGTAGCCCAGTCTCTCTCTAATTGTATATTAGTTTCTATTTAACTTATCTGCCTATAATATTCCCCCTTCTGAAGAGGTATTCCTAACTGTGATTAGGGGAGAATGAGCATAGTTTTAACCTAGCTGCTTTGAGCTGAGAAGGGTCAGTGTAGGGGAGACCGAAGTCAGGGACCTTCTCCAGAGAGGTAATCTAATGGCCCTTGGATAGAAGTAATGTGGGGATTAGCAGTTATGAACTCTTTTGAAGGTTGATATAGGGCTGAGGATTTAGCTTGGCTGTGCCACCAGCTGCCTTGCTCAATATAAAAAAATCCTCAGTATAAAAACTAAAAATAAAAAAAAGAAGGTCGATCTATGCTGGGTATAGTGGCACAGGCCTATAATCCCAGCACCGAGGAGCCTGAGGCAGGAGGTTTGCCTCAAGTTCAAGGCCAGCCTGAACTAATTCAACTAAATTGAATTTTGGGAAACTTTAACGGTGCTGTCAACTTTGGAAAAAGTTATCCCAATTTACTGTGTTGAGTTGGCATTGTACAGAAATGGACAGCCATATTGGTCTAGAAATGTTAATTTTTTTATTTTTATTTTTCCATTTGTACAGGGGTAATGCATTGTACTAAATATGTAAGGTCATATCTGCTTGGGTTTGATTACAGAAGCAAAGTATTCTCTAAATAATGAAAAAAAGAATAAGATAAGACTACAAGAGCAAGAAGCAACTTAAATATGTTAAGGGACCATTTTCATCTTCAGAATTAAGAATTATTTTAGTCCTACATCATTGCCTTTTCTCTATTACTTTCCTTTTTAGTTTTATTTTAGGATCCCCTATTTTTAATGTTCATACAGAGATTTCTTTAACTGAAATAATGAATAGTTTCTCTGGTGTGAAAAACTATAATAGTACACAGGATCCTAATGAGATAATTAATAATGTGAAATAGGAAGTAAAGGGCTAAAGGTGTAGGGAAAGTGGGAAGGGTGGGGGAAAGATAATAAGGGTGGGGGAAAATATGAGAAACTGAAAAAATGGAAATAAAATGTTTGTAAATGGGGAAGGGAGGAGGGGGTGAAGGGAGGGCAGGGACAAGGGGAAAAAATGAGAATTAAGACCTATTATGTAAAGGTACAAGATCCCAATGATGAATGTAATTGTATTGTATACCTAGATTGTACCAATAAACTCAATAAAAAGAAAAAAAAAGGTCGACCTAGTTTGCCATAGTTTGGCACATTTATTTTTGGTTTTATCTCTATGACTATGTAGGGTTTCACAGCCTCTAGATGAGAATAAACAAAAAAAATTTTAAGAGATTAAGACACACATGACCAAGGCATGAGCACTAGAATGGAAAGGCGGATTGGGAAAATAGCAATATCTAGATACTATTCCTAAGGGATTGAAATAGCGAATGTAACTAGCTGGCCCTTGGGCCTCTTTATTGATGGAGGTTATCTATAAATTTAAGTGTCTCTAGTTTTAGCTTCAATAAAATAGTTTTGTAGTTTTGAAAGAAAATTT